AAAGTGAAGGGTAGATTGCAACCAGATCTCATTCTCATGAGTAACATTAAACTATCTCAATGAAATTTTCCTGGAATTGCTGAAATTGTGTGGTCATACGCACCTTTGTGTGTTCTTAAGGAATGATTAACCTATATGTACTTAAATTACTCTCCATATATACTTCTTGGACTACTTCATGGTCTTGGTCTTACTTGAAGCTGAGGCTATATTTGTTGCTAAAGTTTATGTTCTTTTTTCAAAATCTTGTTTGTTTTCTAAAGTATCCTCACAAGATTTCTTTCCTCTATAATCTCTCTCTACTTTTGGTTTTCTACTCACTTTTGTTGGTTATTTTTCTCTTTCTCTCTCTTTGTATCTATCTTTGAATCATTTTTTCTTACTTTTCTCATTCTCTGTTTCCTCAGTTTTTTCTTTTCTTCAATGATCTATCTGGGAACTAGTTTTTCTTAGTGATCAGCTTTATGTTGCTGACATGGCTCTTAAGATTGACATTTTTCATACCCACTGTATAGGAAAATTGTTGCCTAGAGAGTTCTACAGGATTCCAGAAACAAAGAAAATTAGAGAAACACAAAAACATAAACAGATAAACTTAGGGGAAACCAGGGTTCTGAAGCCTCTCTGGCACTTGCTCTCTGGTTGCCAGCAAGCAAGCAAAGTTCCTTGAGTTCACACAGGGAAGATTACCATTGATAACATGCAAAACTGAAGTATCTATATTAATATTACAATCTGAGCCACAACACGTCCTGAAGAAAACATGTTTCCTTATTCTCCTGAGACAGAAGACTGGCGCCCAGAGAAAATGCAGACATGAAGTTCACCTTACCTAGCCTTCAAGGTGAACAGCAGCTCAGTTTCAGATGCTATCTTTCCAACAGTAAGGAAAAGGCCGGAACTCCAATCTCTTAACCATCTCCAGAATTCTCTTTTAACCCTTCTGCGGCCAGCTCTCAGTTCTCTCAGTGCTGTCAGGCTGGAATTCCAACCTCTCAAACCTTTTCCCCTTCAGCTCAACTTCAGAGTTCCACACAGAAAAGTACATCCTTCCTCCAACTGATAAACTACAAGAAAATTTGATTTCACCTGATTCTGTTATCTTTGGTCTAACTTCATTTGTAGTGGTATTCAGTTTTGTTTTTCCATCCCACTACTTTTAAATATTTTCATTCACTGCCAGTATAAGATAGGTAGTTTTGATAAAAAAAAATAATACAATGATGAGTTTTTCTCTATTAGAAATACCATTTGTTGTAAAATCTCACAGATATTTGCTAGGAATTGATTTTGATCTCTGAAGAATTTCACTATTAACTAACAAAAGTAGAAATATATCTTTAGGGATCTACTGGAGAAATGACTCAGGAATATTTAACACATTTGAGCATTTGGTCATATTTATCATTTTTGTCACCTTGAGTGTTCTTTGAGTCTATCTATTTGCCTCCACCTTCCATGAAGGCTTATTAAAATGAAAATCTTCTCAAGGTATATTTTATTCCCCTCCCACATATATTTTGTGTTGTAGAATGTAGGTAAAGTTTACAAACCTTCATTGTACCAGTTCTTTTTTACATAGGAAGAAATATCAGGGTATCTAAGACCAGATTTCAATATTTAGTATTTAAACCAAACATGGTTAACCTAGGATATTTTTATGTGGGAACTAAATCAAATCTTTTAAGGGCCCAATAAATCATTAGCTACTTTCTGGAGTACTGTTACTGTTTTTTAACATTCATGTGGACACTGCTTTTCTTTGATCTAGTAATGTTCTATGTTTTGTATGCAATGTGATATCCTGAATGTGTTCTGATTGCTTATGAGAGTACTTGTTAATAGAAGGTCTAAATAGGATTTATGGTGAAGCAATAAATGTAAATGCAGAGAAAATATTTGTTTAATTCATTGTTACCTACTGATATATACTAAAATTTTATCAAAAATAATAATATAATTTTTTAGACACCACCTTAGACTTGATGTCATCATGCCAGATTATTGTCTCCTTAGAATTTTTATCTTGTCTCTATTGCTAGCAGCAGAAATGTGTTTGCATGCATTAGGGAATCTGTAACTTTGTATTGGTCTTGGGGCCTGAATTCTCGGCCTGGTTATTGTCCATCAGCTCTTCAGGTCAAGGTGAGTGCTCTACCACTTGAGTCACAGTGCTACTTTCAGTTTTCTGGTGGTTTATTGGAGATAAGTGTCTCATGGACTTTCCTGCCTGGGCTGGCCATGAACCTTGATCCGCAGAGCTCTTCCTCCTCAATAGCTAGGATTACAGGCATAAGCCACCAGTGCCCTGCAAATCTGTGTATTTTAGTGGCCAGGTTTATGTATTGTCAAATATTTCTAATTTGCTATTTAATTTTCCCAGTGAAAAGATAACATAGCCAGCTGCAAACATTTTATGTAAGACAAAAGCATACCTGCAGCATAATGAAATTCCAGATTGGAATTCTCTTGACCCAGGTCTAATTTCTTGATGGAAATGTGCCATTACAGAAGCTGATGTCATTTGATGATGTGGCTGTGTACTTTACCTGGAAGGAGTGGCAGGATCTGGATCCTGGTCAGAGGACCCTTCATAGAGAAGTAATGCTGGAAACTTATAACAACCTAATGTCCTTGGGTGAGCAAAGGTCACTTTTATTTGGAAGATCAAGTGCTTTTATTTTAGTAGACATTTGACTATGTTATTTAGGTATAAGATTCCAGTCCATTCCCTTGTAAAAAAACTGCTAGTATAAAAGCCAGCCAAATTCAGGTCTGGGAGCTTGATGTTGTTTGCCTTTCACACTACTGCTTGAGCCACCACTCTATTTTGGCTTTTGTTTTGGGGTATATTCTGAATTTCCATGCCCAGGTTGGTTTCAAGCCTGCCTCTTCTGATCTTACCTCCTAAATGTAGGGTTAGAAATGTAAGCCTTTGGACCATTACATTTTGTTTAAAAAAAAAAAGATTACAGTCCATGGGAAGTGTCATTTCTTCCTAAGGGAAACTTCAACTTCATTATGTGTAACTCATGAGCTAATTTTATTCTCAGTCTTTAAGATTTCTAATCAGTAGTTGGACAAAAGTTCTAAACTATGATCCACTAATAGGAGACTGACTTTCCAGACTTGGGGTGATTATTATAGGTGGATCTACACTCTAGATAGAATATACATTAGTACTGTCAGCATGATCTGGAAATCAGTAGGTGAAAGTGTGTATTTGTAAGCCAAACCTGACATAGGTTGCATTGTTTCAAGCTTGGAATTCTAGATACTCTGTAGGCTAAAATCTGAGGATTTTGGTTTAAAGCCAGCAACTGTAGAAAAATGAACATGAGACTCTTATCTCCAATAACCATTCAAAAACTAGAAATGTAGCCAAGACACAAACTAGTAGAATGCTAGATTTGAGCAAAAGAGCTGAGTCCAAGCCACACATTGGGAAAATAAACCCAAAGCTGGGGGAAAGTACACCATGGAGCTGTTAAGAATTGAGAAACCATGGACTGGGAAGGTGGCTCAGTGGTAGAGCCCGTGCATTGCATGCTTGCGGCCCTGTGTTCGATTCCTCAGCACCAAAAAAGCAGAAAAAAAAAGCCAGAATTGGCATTATCGCTCAAGTGGTAGAGTGTTAGCCTTGAGTTTAGGAGGTGTGATACACCTCCTAGGCTCAGAGTTCAGGCCCCACAACCGATCCCACCCCCCAAAAAATAAAACAATTGAGAAACCAGATTTAGGAGCAACCCAGTGAACAGGATGTCTGCAACATTACATTAATGATGACCCAGCAAGAGCAATAGTTCTCCACTATTTCTTACTCACAGGGCACTGTGTTCCTAAACCTATATTGATTGTGAAGCTGGAGCAAGGTGCAGAACCATGGATGAGAGAAGACTCAGAAGAGAATTTCACAGGTGAGTTAAAGCATCTTGAATAGTGATGTTGGGTCCAGAGCCCAGTGGGTCTGTTTATCTTGAGCTGTACAGAGCAATAGTATTCCTAGTGCCCTTCAGTCATGTATGGAAGAGAACTAGGTGATCCTTTGTCTCAAGGAATTGTCAATCCAGAATTCTCGTGGAGACAAACTGAATTTGATGTTCCAGTGTAGTTAATGTTAGCACTTCTCTTTGTCTGTAGAGAAATCTTTCATAAAGAGAAAAAGACAATAAGAAATGTAGTAAAGAGATCTCATTTTAAACTAGTGTTTTGCAGGTAGGAGGAAAATAGAATCAGGACAATTTCTTATCAGTGGTGCTGGGCATAGAGGGAGATTCAGAATGGAAGCGTTAAGAGTACAGAGATGAATAATTTGAGTAAATATTTCCTTGAGTAAAATATAAAAATCTGAAATACAGAAAAACATTATTTTCCATTGTAAAATGTCAGTACTACTTTCTTAATTACTACATTGCAGAGAAATATATATATTCTGCATAAAGCAATGCTTTGATATTTCAAAATATTGTAACAGAATGTGAGGAAATATCTTTACATTAAGGAATATATGGATCGCATTTATGTTTTTGTTTATTTTTCTATTATTCATTTTAGATGTCCCAGAAATGGAGGATGTGATTAGCACCTGCCAGCAACGTCACAATAAATATCTCTCTGAAGTAGCAATCATGAATAGTAACCTAGGGGAGGAAAAAGTGAGACTTATAAGAAGTTTTCATTTGAGCTCCATACAGAAGTCAGAACTGATTAAGAATAATGGGAACTCCTTAGGGATGAGGATAGAAAAGGTCACTGGCTGTCAGAGCATGGGTATTTTCAGTGAACCTGGTAAGATGTGTGCTGCATATAGTACTCATGTGTCTTCTGTAGTTGACAAATGTAAACAGTGTGAAAAGTCTTTCACTGAGAAGAAACACCCTGTTGTCCCTCAGAGAAAACACACAGGAGAGAAACCTTATGAATGTAACATGTGTCAAAAGTCTTTCACCCAGGAATCAAAGCTTACTGTCCACCAGAGAACACACACAAAAGAGAAACCTTTTCAATGTAACATTTGTGGAAAATCTTTCATATGCAAGGCATATCTTACTAGACACCAGAGAACACACACAGGAGAAAAACCTTATGAATGTAACAAGTGTGGAAAGTCTTTCACCGAGAAATCAAAGCTTACTGTCCACGAGAGAACACATACTAGAGAGAAACCTTATGAATGTAACGTTTGTGGAAAGTCTTTCATCCAGAAATCAAAGCTTACTGTTCACCAGAGAACACACACAAAAGAGAAACCTTTTGAATGTAACATTTGTGGAAAGTCTTTCTCCTGGAAGGAATATCTTACTAGACACCAGAGAACACACACAGGAGAGAAACCTTATGAATGTAACATGTGTGGAAAATCTTTCACCTCGAAGACATACCTTACTGTCCACCAGAGAACACACACAGGAGAGAAACCTTATGAATGTAACAAGTGTGGAAAATCTTTCACCCAGAAATCGATGCTTACTCTCCACCAGAGAACACACACAGGAGAGAAACCTTATGAATGTAACATGTGTGGAAAATCTTTCACCTCGAAGACATACCTTACTGTCCACCAGAGAACACACACAAAAGAGAAACCTTATGAATGTAACATGTGTCGAAAGTCTTTCACCGAGAAATCAAACCTTACTCGCCACCAGAGAACACACCCAAAAGAGAAACATTTTGAATGTTACATTTGTGGAAAGTCTTTCTCCTGCAAGGAATACCTTACTCTGCACCAGAGAACACACACAGGAGAGAAACCTTATGAATGTAACATGTGTGGAAAATCTTTCACCAAGAAATCAAATCTTAATCTCCATCAGAGAACACATACTAGAGAGAAACCTTTTGAATGTAACATTTGTGGAAAGTCTTTCTCCTGCAAGGCATATCTTACTCTGCACCAGAGAACACACACAGGAGAGAAACCTTATGAATGTAAGATGTGTGGAAAATCTTTCACCAAGAAATCAAATCTTAATCTCCATCAGAGAACACATACTAGAGAGAAACCTTTTGAATGTAACATTTGTGGAAAGTCTTTCTCCTGCAAGGCATATCTTACTCTGCACCAGAGAACACACACAGGAGAGAAACCTTATGAATGTAAGATGTGTGGAAAATCTTTCACCAAGAAATCAAATCTTAATCTCCATCAGAGAACACATACCAGAGAAAACTTATGAATGCAACTTGTGTCGAAAGTCTTTCACCCATAAAAGAAACCTTACTGTGCACCAGAAAACACACACATTAGAGAGACCTTATGAATGTAACATGTGTGGAAAGTCCTTCTCTTGGAAGTCAAGCATCAATGTCCATCAGATAATACACACAGGAAAGAAACCTTATGAATGTAACCTGTGTGGAATGACTTTCACCAGGAAGTCAAACCTCACTGTCCATCAGAAAAAACACAGGAAAGAAACCTTATGAAAGTCATGTTTGCGGAAAGATTTTCAGCCAGAAGCTACAACTTACTATCCACCAGAGAGCACACACAGGAGAGAAATTTTATGAATGTGACCTATGTAGAAAATCTTTCATGCAGAACATACACCTTTTTGTCCATCAGAAAAAAACCAACCAGAGAGAAATATTATGTATGTAGCAGGCATGGAAATTCTTTCACCTGGAAGGCCCAACTTAACATCCATCACAGACACAAGGAGAGAAACCTTATGAATGTGACCAATGTGGAAAGACAGCTTAACACACATAAGTTGATTCACACAAATGAAATAACTTAGGATTGTACCAAATGGGAAAGTCTTTGATCTGTAAGAAAATTGAAATTGCAATACAGAACCAATACAGGATACAGACCTTATGATATAGCAGATGTGGAGTCCTCGAACTACAAGACACAGCTCAGGGTTCATCACAGAACACACAAAACACACAGACACACATACACCCTCACACACAAAGAGGAGAAAAATCATATGTAGAAAAATTGGAAAGGTTTTCTAGAAAAAGTCATAACAGTAGTAAAGTCTTTCTTGGAGGGGTAACAATGCTTGATAGAAAATGTATTAATGACCTAACTCATATAATGGTATAACCAATCGATACAATATCTTTACAATAAAATATATATTTAAAAAATATGATGGATTAATAAAGACTAGAATCTCTGCATTTTTTGGGGGGGAGGTTCGGTCGTGGGGCCTGAACTCTGGGCCTGGGCGCTGTCCCTCAGCTCTTCAGCTCAAGGATAGCGTTCTAACACTTGATCCACAGCACCACTTCCGGCTTTTTTTTTCTTTTTGCTTATGTGGTGCTGAGGAATTGAACCCAGGGCCTCGAGCATGCAAAGCAAGCGCTCTACCACTGACCCACCTTCGCAGCCCTGCATTTTGTCTTGGGGGAGAACCCCAAAGTGTCTTCAGTGCTTGCACTTTTCTTTAATTAATCACTGGTGATGAAAAACTTGTGACTGATTCACTCTTAGCCCATTTATTTGTTCTGCTGAGTGAGCTATAATAAAAGACCAGTGTGGACGATGTGTCGCACCTGTGTTATCTCATAGAAGGCCAAAGTAGATATGACATTAGGGGAAATAATCAAGCACACAAAGATATTGATCAATCTCTCACAAAAATTGAAGTTAACAAAGGAATAAAACCATCTGCCACTTGAGCTACAGCATCACTTCTAGACCCTGAGAGAAAGGAAGGAAGGAGTAGGGAAGTGAGAGATGGAAAGAGGAAGGGAAGGAATGAGGAAGAAGGAAGAAATAAACTATTCAAAAGAAGAATGTTTAATTTTTGGTGAATGTGAGAATTATTGTTTCAGAGGTGGAGCTCAAGAAATATGGCTTTTAGCCATAGTAATCAAAACAGCTTGGTATTGGCATAAGAACAGACCTCAGGACCAATGGAATAGAATTGAAAACCCAGAAATGAACCTACAGACCTATAGCCATCTAATCTTCGATAAGGGAGCTAAAACAATAGAATGGAAGACAGACAGCCTCTTCAGTAAATGGTGCTGGCAAAACTGGTTAACTACATGTAGAAAACTAAAGCTAGATCCTTATATATCACCCTGCACCAGAATCAACTCCAAATGGATCAAAGACCTTGAAGTCAAAGCAGACACTCTGAAAACATTACAGGATGGAATAGGAGAAACCCTGGGTCTCCTTGGCTCAGGCCGAAATTTTCTGAATAGAGACCCGGAAACACAACAAATCAAAGAAAGGCTGGACAAATGGGATTGCATAAGGTTGCAGAGCTTCTGCAGGGCAAATGACATAGCTAGCAAGATCAATAGAAAGCCCACGGACTGGGAGAAGATCTTTACTAGCCATACAACGGACAAGGGTCTCATATCTAAAATATACTTGGAACTCAAAAAATTAAACCACCCAACAACAAATCCTCAAAGAAACAACTGCCCAATAAGTAAGTGGGCGAAAGACTTAAAGAGAAGCTTCTCTGAAGAAGAAAGAAGGATGGCCAATAGACACATGAAGAAATGTTCAACATCCCTAGCCATAAAAGAAATGCAAATCAAAACAACATTGAGATATCACCTCACTCCAGTTAGAACAGCAAAAATCAAGAACTCTAACAACAACAGATGCTGGAGGGGATGTGGACAGAAAGGAACCTTACTTCATTGTTGGTGGGAATGTAAACTTGTTCAACCACTTTGGAAAGCAGTATGGAGGTTCCTCAAAAGACTCCACATAAAGCTCCCCAATGACCCAGCAATCCCACTTTTGGGCATCTACCCAAATGATCACAAACAAGGCCACACTAAAGCTACCAGCACAACTATGTTTATTGCAGCATTATTTACCATAGCTAAGACATGGAACCAACCCAGATGCCCCTCAGTAGATGAATGGATCAAGAAGATGTGGTATATATATACACAATGGAATTCTATGCCTCCATCAGAAAGAATGACATTTCCCCATTTGTTAGGAAATGGAAAGGCTTGGAAAAAATTATATTAAGTGAAGTAAGCCAGGCCCAAAGAAACATAGGTCCCATGGTTTCCCTTATTTGCAATATCTAGTATAGGTATGAGTCAAGCGGAAAAAGTCAAATAATGTGATGTTAGGAAAACGAAACCTCAAATATGTATTTTAATGTTTTTGTTTCTTTCATGCATGTGTTTCTAATGCATTTATAATATTATCTCTTTGTTGCTTTGTATGTCCCTCCCCCACAGTGTAACCCCCGCTTTCACTATATTTGATGTCAGTATAACATGTGGAGGAGATGGGGACAAACAAGTCGTTTAAGGATTCAGGTGGACCTGTTGCAACAATGAGAAGTACAAAATGTCATGTCAAAACCAGCTTTACAATGTCGGGGGGGGGGGGAGGGGGGGTATGATTGGGTGGGAGGGAGGGGGGAGGCTGGGAAGGGAGGTGAAGGGTAAACAAAGGAGGAGGCTGCAATGCTTGGTAAGAAATGTATGCATTATCCTGCCCATGTAATTGTAACCCCTCTGTACAGTATGTTCTCAAATAAAATAAAATTAAATTAAAAAAAAAAAAAAGAAATATGGCTTTTACAAAAAGCAAATATTTGAATGTTTACAAAACGATAAAGAGGATGTAACATTTTATAAATTGATTTAATAATACAGTAATATTAAGTAAGGAGGTCAGGTGTGGCTGGGGCCCTATTGGCCACATGGTAGATGGTGGGGTCAGGCATCTTGTTTTCATGCAGGGGGAAGGAAATGCCCCATCCATCACTTACCTCCCAACTGATGGGTGTGGCTGGATCCCTGGAAGCAGGCATGGGCATTTGGCTGATGTTACTCAATCTGAAAGTCCAGTGCCTGGAATTGGAATTTCCTGTGGGCCTTCCTCCTGCTTAGGCCCTATTTAGGCCGGACCAGCAGTGGCACCAGATGCCATGCCACATGTCTCTGTAATCATGTCCTGTGTGCTTTCTCCTAGCTTGTCTCTCGTCATCTGGTGTCCCAATTCATCACTTTCTTGGTGCTGATTGGTTTCTCGGTGCTGTTTTTATTCTCTCCCCCCCTTTCTGTCCTATTTCCAAGCTGTCTAAGTGTATTTGTGGACTGCAAGTCTTTGTTAGAACAGGCTGCTTGCAGACTGCTAGCTGTGAAATCCACTCCAGTATTCCATCTACCATAATGTGGCTTTGAACAAATACAGTGTCTTCTTTTACAGAAACAGAAAGGTTGACCTAAATTTAGAATTTCTAGAGCCAAGATCGATGCCACTGTATAGTTATGTAATTAAAGATATCCTGCAGGTATTTAGAAACAATTTCTGTTACATCAGAAAGAGCTTAATTAATAAACCAAGACCAAGGCTCCAGATCCTATATAAGCCAGTCATTCTAGATATGTCTAGAGCTGTTTGGTTGCATGAAGAGCAATACTTTCACACATTCATGAAGGAACGTTATTGTGCCAATATGAGGTTTTGAACTCAGGAACTGAGTTGAAGCCAGCCAGAGCTGGCTTCAAAGGAGATTCTCTCATCTTGGCCTCCATAAAAGCTAGCCCTGTGGGCTGTTCTGAAGAAATCTGTCTCTGGGAACATGAGGTTTCCTTCAGTGCTTCAGTTCAGGCTTCCTGTGGCTTCAACAATTTCAGTATTTATTTCAACATTTCAAAAATAATAACTCTTCTTCACAGTATTTTCAGAATAAAAAAAGGAATCCTTAAATCCTGCCTATGATTCCATTTACAAGATAAGGACAGTGGAGTTCACATTGCAAGATTTAGCTAGTTGCTCGCTTAACGCCTTCCATCACACTGTTCACCCTTCTACTTTTTTGGGGTGGGGGGTCCGGGCTTGTGGCCTGAACTCTGCGCCTAGGTGCTGTCCCTCAGCTCTTCAGCTCAAGGCTTGCACTCTACCACTTGAGCCACAGTGCCACTTCCAGCTTTTTTTTTTTTTTTTTTTGCTTATGTGGTGCTGAGGAATTGAACCCAGGACCTCATGCATGCATGGCAAGTGCTCTGACACTGAGCCACCTTCCCAGGCAAACGCTTCTGCTTATCTACAGAGGCCTAGTAAAAAAAATGGGATTGGGACGCACCTGTGCCCTTGGCCTTCCTATTTGTACCACACACACACACACACACACACACACACACACACACACACACACACACACGCACACACACACACTATCCATTTGGAAATCGCTCATTCTCCCATGTTTACAAACTGTATGCTTTCTGAGAAGGGATGGTTAACAGACTGGAGTCCTACCTAGGCCTGTTATATACCTCAAATTATGAACCAAAATACCACGTTCATTAAAAGTATGCCTGATGATAACATATTTTATTAATGTTTTGAATTATTTTTGTTATTATCATTTGGCCAACACTTTGCTTGAATTCAGAATTAACGGGACTTAATGTTCACTGACTTGGTAAAGTACCCTTTCCTCTTTTAATTTCAGACCAGCAATTAAAAATGA